CTTGTCTCTTGGATTTCTCTTCACTTGATACAGTAAATTTGGCTGTAACGGTCCCACCTGAAGATGGAGACTTGTGTTGCCTCCGAAACGTCGTCGTGATTTAATTTAGTTATTTTCATTTATTTTTATTTTATTATTATTTTTTACCTACGTGACTTTACCGAGAAAAAAACCCTAAGAGTATGACCACGCCCCCCTTCTAGATCCCTCGAGAAGGCTCCACTCCCTGACCACGTGACCCCCAGGGTCCCTCAGGGCCCCCGGCCCCCTCTTGGATCCGGTCACGTGTCCAGCCGGGGTCACTCGGAGTGTCATGGCCTGACACAACCCCCGTGGCACCCGCAAGCTTCCATAACGAACCAGCAGTGACGTCACGCATGCAGACCCAACATGGCAGTGACGTCATGTGTATACAGACCCGACATAGTAGTGACGTCATGTGTATACAGACCCGACATAGTAGTGACGTCACGTCACTACAGATTAATTGAGCACTTTTGGGTGGCTTATTCTCGGATAATAAGATGAATCTCCCTCCTCTCTCTGGTGACTGCTCCTATGTGCAAAAATATGTAGATAATAGGAAAATGTACGTGTGTGTGGTGTGTGTGTGCAAGCATATACGTTGTACATATAAACATATAACTCTGGCCGACACTCAGTGTTCTATCACGCTTGCTTAAACCCATGACGGTGAGCTGCCCAATGGTGAAAGACATGGGTTCATCAAGTCCGGTGACAAACTATATCACACGTAGCGCACTCCTTGTACACAACTAATACATCCAGTTAATAATAGCCACATACAGCCGCCTCCTTCCCATGCAGTATTTGCCTCTCCGCATAAACAAACGAAAACATTCTTCTGACATCCCATCAGCCGCGCAGCCTACTAGGGCACATCTTCTTGGTTCTTTCGGTAAAGTCACGTAGAAGGAAAATAATAAAATAATAAAAATAAAACATAAAATAATTCTCACGGCGTTTCGGCCACAACGCAAGCAGCCGTCCTCAGGTGAAGACCAGGTCTGTCGGGGAGACAGCGTCATTCGGACAGCGTCATTCAGACGCTGTCTCCCCGACAGACCTGGTCTTCATCTGACGACGACTTTACCGAAAGTACCAAGAAGATGAACCCCTGCAGTCACGAAAGCTTTAAATCGAAAATTATTTTAATGGTTTATTTTTATTATTTTATTACTTCCCTTCTACGTAACTTTACCGAAAGAACAAAGAAGATGAATCCCTACAGTCACGAAAGCTTTAAATCGATATTTACTCGGGCACTTGTTTACGTGAGCGCGGCCTCTGCTGATGAGACACCCGAGTGTCGAAACCGGTCCCGGGGCAGGTCAACCTGCCACCGCCACCGCTGCCGCTGGATCCACCAGCTTAGCACAAAGCCTCCCCGTTATCCATCTGGGCCCTCCATCCCTTACAGACCCTGGCCTCTTCACTCAGCCCAAGCCACGTGGAACAACGGAGACACCCATTGGCAGCGGCGGCACGCTGCACCCACTCGCGCACCGGGCGTGCGCGCAATTGAGCGAGCGTTGCACGCGAATAACTAGAGGATTTTTCAGTTTATTTTGTACTGGTAGAAACCTCCTGGTTCCACCAGCCCACAGGGGATTATTGTGTCCGTCCGTCCGTCCGTTGTGCATCCAACAATTGGAGGGGTGGAGCTGGGTGGAGAGGGGAGGGTGGGAGGGGCTGGGTGGGGAGGGGCTGAGTGGGGAGAGTGGGGCTGGGTGGGGGGTGGGAGGGGTGGGGCTGGGTGGAGAGGGGAGGGTGGGGAGGGGCTGGGTGGGGAGGGGCTGGGTGGGGAGGGGAGGGTGGGGAGGGGCAATGTGGGAAGGGGAGGGTGGGGAGGGGCTGGGTGGGGAGGGTGCGGATGGGCTGGGTGGGGAGGGTGCGGCTGGGTGGGAGAGGTGGGGCTGGGTGGGGAGGGGCTGGTCACCCCGTGGTGCCCTTATAAAACTCAACGTTTCACCTACTCACGCCGGCTTGTGCCCGCCCTCACAGTCGGCCATATTTGCGGAATACACCACGCCGCCATTGACCCTGGCCATTGACCGAGCAACCCAACGTTCCTACCAGCTCCCTCCGCAGGAATGTGTTTTAACCAGGTGACAACTGCAGAGACCGGCAGAATGGCATTGACAAGAGTGACCTGGGGCATTGGTCGGCCAGTAGTGGGCGATGATTGCTGCTGCATGTATGCCGAACTTCTTTCGCACCGTGCGTAGCCAACCGTGCTAATCGGAGTTGCGATGGAAGGACGACTAACTGCGGTGTAATTTTCAAAGTTTTTGTTGTCGTTGCAAAAAAATCGTACGCCAGACGCCGGCACACAATGGCCTCCTCTTGCGATTGACGTCAGGGCATCTTGAACATCCACTGTGAAGCAGACTGCGCGCGACTTCGTGATGGCTAATACATAGCCGCAGTATTAATCAGGGCGGCCACTGGATTTGAGCTGTGAATCTCTAACAACAAGCGGCGAACGCGTGACTGCGAGGTCATGATCACGGCACCAAAGTTTCGGAATTAAGCATTTTAGCTTTTTTTATATAAATTGTTGCGTCTCATTCAGATAATTGAAATTGTTTTCGTCATATTTATCTGCTGGCTAACAAAAGTGACGTCACCCGACGCAATGCGACACAACGAATGTTGGCAGGAAAGAAGTGGAGGTGACAATATTTTAGTGACATAATTTCCCTATTCGGAATAATCCGAAACAGGCGTGTATGTATATTTACAATCGTCTCAAATTTCATATCTCGACCTAATTTGCAGATTATTCAGATCAATTCAAATGATCGAATGAGTGCCATTCCATACTCTTCAGATCATAAGACGCTCCTAAAATAACACACACCCAGAATCTTGCTTTCAAATACAGGGGGGGGGGGGGGAATGCAATATTATACTCCGAGAATGACATATAAACACACACACACATTAAATTCGTTCACAATTGAGGGGCGTTCTGGAATATTAAGATATTGTTGAATGTATCGGCAGTTTGACTGCATACATCTCTTAAGCAATGTGCCAAAATGTCCATGCTATGTCCTGGCAGTGAAACCAGGCTGTGCTATGCCCCTAAGCCACACGCCCACCGCTAAGACAAATGTTTTAATTGCACTGCATGCGGTGAAATATGGTCAACTAAGCCCCATTTCAGTGTGTGGAGACCTTAATCCAGCAGTGGATTGACAAATCGGCTGCAATTGTATTATACTAGAAATGCATATTGCACACTGATGTGGGGGAAGTGGTGCAGACGGAGGTTCTGCCGAGTTGAGGAGTGGGACGAGAGCTCAGGGTCGGTGAGGTCGTGACATGGCCGAGCGGCAAGATGTTTGCCGCCTACCGCAGAGGATTGTGGTTCACACCACCGGGAGCCCTGGTTAATACTGTGGATGGCAACCACACAATGGGCATTGTCTGCTTCAAGGTGGGCGTTAAAGAACCTGTAGCGTGATTCCAATGAGCAGGCCATGCGTGTCAGGTGCCATGGTCTAAATTTGCAATATCACCTCGTAAACTACTTAAATCGGTTCTAGATTGGAAGCTTTCGTGACTGCAAGGATTCATACTCTTAGTTCTTTCGGTAAAGTCACGTAGGTAGTATCGGTGGTACCGGCCCACAGCAGCCTGGCTGTGACGGTCTCACCTGATGACGGAGACTTGTGTTGCCTCCGAAACGTCGTGATTTTTATTTTATTAATTTAAATTTCATTTTTTTTACCTACGTGACTTTACCGAAAGAACTAAGAGTACTTAAATCGGAATAACCAATGGCACCATGGCAAGCTACGAGCCGAGCGAATGCCCCCACTTGCCACCCGGTGTTGCGCTCATCTTGCGCCACAGGGACAAGTTTCCGTTACGCTGTCGGCGCGATATTAACGCCAGTTCTTAGTATTGTCACGAGCGGAGAGCATGTCGCTCTGAAACCAGGAGGCGATAACTGCGATTTTCTTATTCTGACAATCTCGTAGCAGGAGAACTAATTCATCTTTTATTTACTCGCAAGGATTTAAAGAATATTTTGGGCGAAAGAATAACATCCTTCGTCGCGTCTCATGTTTAACCTGCACGGGTCTTTCCCCAATATTCTGCAAAGGCCACCGCCTCTGGTGTTGACATTGCCAAATCTTGAGGAGCGCATTGCGGTGCTGCAGGGCATCTCAGAATGACATTAAAAGGAGCAAACGTTGAAAAGTTCGAGCTACATTTTAAATGACGGCCACGGTGCGAAAGAATTTCTACATACGAACCGTCAGTCTTCTGTACTCGTTACACTCGCCACTCCGGTGTCGTTATTGTTTTACGCACTTCTTCCACCGAATAAAGTTAGTTCAATGTGTATTTTTTTTTATACACGTATAATCCCGCGTAGCCAGTTACCCAGGTAGTATCAGTGGTACTGGCTCACAGCAGCCATGAACAGTTATCGTTGGGGGTGGAGCAGAGGTCGCAAACGGGTTTTGATTCCTTACCCGTACCCGGCCGCACCAGGGTCGCAAATGGGTACCCGCACCCTACCCGATACCCGGCTACCCGTAACCGGCTGGGTATCGGGCAGGGTACAGGTACAAGTACCCGATTGCGACCTCTGGGATGAAGCCATGTTGCAGGCGCGGGTGGGTTGATTCTAGGAACTTGAATTGTGAGAAGAGACAAGACTTTGGGAAATGAGTGACAAATGGTAACTCACCAGTGACTCACGGCCTACCTGTACCCGTACCCGGCCGCACCAGGGTCGCAAACGGGTACCCGTAACCGGCTGGGTACGGGTAGCCGGGTATCGGGTACCCGATTGCGACCTCTGGGGTGGAGAGGTCAACCAGCAGCCAGCCAGGAAACTCGGGGGGAGGGGGGGGCAGATTGTTTTGAATACTGTCGTAATAAATGACAGCCCCAAGCCACTGCACTATGCAGTGAAATCACAATTGAAGCTTTTCATTGCATTGCAGTGTATTGATATTTTATTTCAAAAAAAAAGAGAGAGAGCAAGTTTTATGTACGTGGCTTAGAGAAGACGAGAGAGCCATCATAATGTTCCCATCTTCACCGAATATTTCATTTCCCCCTCTCCCCACCCGTGGTGTGCGTATGAGCGGGTTTCCCATATACACATGCCCATTCCGCAAAAAAAAGCACACTCGCCCTCTCATTGTAAAGACACAGACACAAAACTAGAACAATATAGAGAATCAATCAAAGAGTGTTACAGCAATCACATTATACAAGCTTACTAGTCAAGGGGGACTTTACACGGGGAAAACACGCGGGCGCGCACACACACACTCAAATTATAGAACAAAACCTCTGTAGATGACGTTCATACTTCTTAGGTTAAGTATAAAACTGCACGGAGTTTGTGAATTATATAAAAAATTCCGAGCCGTTATTGCAGGCTTAGATTTTGTTTTAACACCTTGTGTACAAGAAATACAATTAAACAAATGAGGTTAACCCATGGGTGCTATTTTGACATAAAAATTTGAATTCTCTACAAAATAGAACAATCCAAAACAAAAATAAACACACTTTAAAGTAAGAGAATGTTACAGGCTTTATAATATGAACAAGTTTATCCACCATACACATTAGGCAGGGCGTTGACATTTGGAGAATAAGGTACAGCTCATTATTAATAATCATCGTTATGATGATCACCATCCAAGCCGGGTGGCACAGTGGCTCGAGCAAAAACTTGTAACGGGAAGGTCATCACTTCAAAAACTGGGCAGTGGGCCTCCGTAACTCACCCCCATCGTCCCTACGGAGATCATCAGTGTCCACTTCATGGCAAGTTCAACAGTGTACATAATTTCGATGTGCCCTGCCAAGGTAACGTGGCGTTTGCCCACCAACCCCACTGGACCAGAATCACCAGCGAAGTTGAGAGCTGCCCTCCCCCACCCCCATTGCTTATCTTGAGTAGGCAGACACCGACTTTGAATATTTGTTTTTATCACTGTCATTACGATTATGATCTTCTCTTCGACGTTGTTGGCTCAACGTGTGGGGAGTGCATGTGGGGGGGGGGGGGCTAAATGAGGCCCCTTCGTTTCTTGTAATCTTCCAGGTTGAGGGAACGGCGAGGGCCGCCGTCTTTCACGGGAGGTGGCTTGGAAACGCCGCTGTTTGACTTGGACTCTGCACAGTGAGGGGAAGAAGATGGGAGAGGCCGTCAGTGACTGCACGAGGGGAAAGGGAGACGGAGCTTCAAGAAAGGAGCATGCTGCAGGAAATAAAAACTTGTCATTTTTTATTTTACTTTTAACAGGCTAAAGTACCCTCTTTCAAGACGTTTGTGCAGCGTGGAGGCGGCCAAATAACTTAGAGAGCAGGTCTCTGAAGCTCTCTCTGCTGCAGTATTTTTACATGCTAATTGTAATGTTTTTGCATCGCTCAGTCGCCCTGCCAGGTCTCCCGTGCGATAAATTTAAAACTACATCAGAGGTCTTGAAAGTTCTTTGTGTAAAGAACGATATGAATGAGTGGTCAATGATCGGTCGCACTCATTGCACACAGAGTGCTTGCCACAAATAAACCACGATACCTTGCTGATCTCGTTATGGAGCATAAAACATCACGCAAACTCCGGTCATCCTCGCAGTGACTTTTCTCTAGCCAGCCAACAAAGACGGTCCCCGCATCGCGCGCTTTCCAAAGTGCTTCTGCAGCCGTCTGGAACGCTCGTCCTTCCGATATGAGGAAGCCATTGGGGCCATGCACTTTTAAATCACCTGGGTTGAAAACCAATCTCTTTAGAACTGATTATTGTATTGAGTCGTCCTTCCTCCGCACCTCCGATTAGCACGGTTGGCTACGTATGGTGCGAAAGAAGTGCAACATACGTACAATAATAAAACAAGGCCCATCGAAAACGGAATTGTTCCGGTGTTATTTCGAGTGTTTGCACGATCAAGTATGGCTGTTGTCTGCATGGTGTTTTGAAGATGCAACCCGAAGGAAGACAACACCTGAAGCTTCATTCGTGAGGACCCTAAACTTAACCAATATAGTTCAGCACAATAGCAGCGGCAGCGCGAGGCACACAAGCAAATCAAGCAAAGGCTGTGGGCAGCTCAAGGGGCCCCTGATTCATGCATCAATAAATGAGCTCAAATTCAGGTCCTAATTAACATAACAAGCTAATTATCATAAACAAACCTATCAGTCTCTTTCATCTCTCATCTCTATTGTTCGTCTATATTTCCTTTACCTCACTCCATTTCCTATCTCTCTAGTCATCTCAATCGGATGTTGGAAAATGAACGGTGGGATTCATGGAACGCACCCAAAGATGGATGAAGCTTGCCAATTTCAGTGTTCTCCACTAATTTCAGAGGGGGGGGGGGGGGCACTTTCGCCGATGAGACATCACCAATGTGAGCGCCGCACGTCAGGGGGTGCACGAAAAGTCGTCAGGGGCTGCACGAAAAGCCACTAAGGGCCGTCAGTGGTTCACGGACCTTGCAATGAAGAACGCTGTGCTCAAGTGCATCAGGACACGGTGGGAGCGTGGTGGGAGCGTGGTGGTGGTGGGAGCATGGTGGGAGCGTGGTGGGAACATGGTGGGAACATGGTGGGAACATGGTGGGAGCGTGGTGGGAGCGTGGTGGTGGGAGCTTGGTGGGAGCGTGGTGGGAGCGCGGTGGTGGTGGTAGCGTGGTGGGAGCGTGATGGGAACGTGGTGGGAGCGTGGTGGTGGGAGCATGGTGGGAGCATGGTGGGAGCGTGGTGGGAGCATGGTGGGAGCGTGGTGGTGGTGGTAGCGTGGTGGGAGCGTGATGGGAGCGTGGTGGGAGCGTGGTAGGAGCATGGTGGGAGCATGGTGGGAGCGTGGTGGTGGGAGCAATGTGGGAGTAGGTGGCACCTCCCGTCAATTCAACGGAGCGCCTTCACTCCCGCTGGTGGCTGACCTGTCATTGGGACTTGGAGGTCAATCTTGATGTCAAAGTCATGGGCCCTGAAGAGGTCGTCAGATTCATCTCCATGAGCCCTGGCACCCGAGGAATCCTTGGCTCCGCCCCCCGACCCAGCCTCCCGTTGTAGGAGTAACTGAAAGAGAAACACGATTAACTTCACGTATCTTAGAGCGTAGTTTTTCCGCCGGGCGATCCACTCTTGATTTTTGGGTGAGGTTTAGTAAAGATCTAGCCACGCTTAATGCCGTAACATCCTCCACCACCCAACACAGCCAAACTAAATGAGAATGTGGATCCAATTGCTAAAGTTTGTTGTGAGAATCGTTCTTAAACTTCCCGGCGAGCTGAAACGATAATATTTAGCACCTTAAAACGCTTGTTTCAGGGACAAATTATTTTGATTGACTGTGTAGGATTAAGGAAGGTTTTGAAGGACATTAAATTAGGTCAGAACATTCCTTGGTGTAACCAAAAAAAATATTATGAACAATAAATATTTTACAAAACGAGCTCGACCATGAGTTTTTGGTTCGCTACCGGGTGTTGTTCGGCACGATGTCCGACGTTTTGCTCAACGTGCTGGAAGCTTCCTCAAGAATTATTGCTCCCAGCACGTGGAACGACATGTGCGACGAAACCGGAGTACCCGGAGAAAAGCCACGAGCGCGAGGGGGATAATACTCAATCACCGCACGGATGGAACGGTTGGAAATCGATCCACCTGCTCTCCTGTCATCATACCCTAGCAAGCCAGACTTGAACGCCCACGGCTAAGAGAGCTTCACCAATTTGTGTGAGCCATCGACCCCTGGCCTCCCCACAGTGCTGTATCGCAGGCGAGCAGCACAGCCGCCAGGGACATAATATTTCGTTGCAAATGCCCGGCTGTTATATATATAGGGGAATGGAAGGGGCGTTGGAGAGCTAAGCAAGGGGAGAGGAGGAGGGTGCAGGAGGGTGGAGAAGCGTAGAGAAGGGCGACAGCAAGAGGGGAAAAATCTGAATGTTTATTTACGTCCAGTGGAGGAGGGTCATAAAGTTACGACAAGTTACGACAACCAACAAAACACAATCGAGTGCAAAGCATAGGAAAGGAAAACAAAAAGACGAGAGGGAAGAGAAATGGGCATCTGGCAAAAACCGCAGAGTGCAGAAATGTAATCGGGTTACAAGCGATTTAATAAAAGGGGACCATATTTTAGTGTGCACTGCCACCGATCCCGGTGGCAAGAGGCCCCGCGCGCACGTCCTGCTTAAGGAGAGAGATCACGCATCGACTCACCGCTCGCCCAATCTCGATCGGATTGTCTGACTCCAGCTGTCCGTACTTGGCGTTGAGCTGAGCCCGGATCGCGGCCTGCACGGCTGGATCACGTGCCTGTGGGCAGAGCGTCGTGTCAACAGGGCAGCGCGGTGCACTGCGGTGAGCGTGGTATTATTGTTTACAATACCGTTCGACGCAACACGTGTTTATGTGATGAATGTCGCGGTATATCAGTTTTCTGTATTTTGTTTCACACATTTATCGTGTTATTTTTCTGCTTTGATGTACTTCAAGTAAAAATGTATTCTTTAAAAGTTAAGCAACTACACTTCACTCAATATAAGCCTACGAACTCCGGTCATCCTCGCAGTGGCTTTTGACTCGCCATCGAACAAAGATGGTCACTGCATCACGCGCTTTCAGATGCACTTCTGCGGCCGTCTGGAATGGCCTTCCTTCCGATATTATGAAGTCACTGGAGCTATGCAGTTTTAAATAATCTAGATTGAAAACGAATTTCTGTAGAACTGTTTTTGTGCGTCTTCTTGGTTCTTTCAGTAAAGTCACGTAGAAGGGAAGTAATAAAATAATAAAAATAAAATATAATAAAATAATTCTCACGTTTCGGCCACAATAAAGACCAGGTCTTCACCTGAGGACGGCTGCTTGCGTTGTGGCCGAAACGTCGTGAGAATTATTTTATTATGTTTTATTTTTATTATTTTATTACTTCCCTTCTACATGACTTTACTGAAAGAACCAAGAAGATGAATCCCTGCAGTCACGAAAGCTTTAAATCGAAATTTGCTTTTGTGCGATTAGCACTGTTGGCTACGTACGGTCTGGCAAATTGTAATTCTGTCTTTGGCGCTTTAACTTCTGGTTTCCCACCAGGTTCCGTCCTGGGGGGCCCTACTAGTCTGCCTCTACATGGCTCCACTTGGTCCAATTTTTCTGCCGATTCGGTATCAACTACTGTGCCGATTAGCTTGGTGGTTTATGTACGGTGTGAAAGAAGTTCAACATACTACATACTGACACATCCTCCATATATATGAAAGTGTTATTGGCCAATTAACGAATGCTTATATGCTGTCATAAAATGATTATGTTATATAATCACCCAGCCGTTAATTACTCTTGAATGTTTTACAAGCACTAATGGAATGGATAGTTTCTATGTTGTACACCATCCCACAGGTGTTTGGATCTTCTCGATTGGTTATTCACTAAAATATTTAAGATAACTGAATAAAAATCTGAAAAAATCTGGATACAAATGAAAGAATGGAAACAAAAATGGAGAGAAAAATCCGCTCACTTGACGTGGCCTCCCAGTGATTTAAACATTCCCACAGTGAATGAATAACGCGTGGAAAACACGTTTTGTTCGTGACAATGACACAAGAAGCAAGATCGTGTCTCTCAAGTGGGGATTAAAACTCCAGTGACCGATGGACCAAGAGTACTGCATTTAAAGGATGACCGACGGTGCATAACGATAACATAGATTAATTAATTTAATCGCTTTAGTCATTGCCTGTTCATACACCTTCAATCACCTCCTGGCTGTGTTTTCGGGGTTGCTCTGCACGGCTCTCCGATGTGTTCTCGCGTTGTGCCGTGCATCATTGGGCACGCCGTCTGACGTTCCGCTCCACATTCTGGGAGCTTCTCTTACGCCAAAGAAGCTCCCGGCGGTGTGGAACGAAACGTCGGGACATCGTGCCAAAAAACTCACGGCACATCGTCCAAAACGCATCCGGAGAGGGCCATCAATCGGCCTCTTCTGGTAAAATGAACGACGAAGCGGCGCCGAATGGAAAGCCAGGGAATAAAAAACTCACGGGGCCGAGTCAATGATGCATGAGCAGAGGGCTGCTACGCACCACCAAAGCCCTGGGTGTTTGTCCCAAGGTCATTGCTCACTGCCTGGCCCTCGCTGTGTGTTTTTCTCAGCTTGGTGCAGTGCTTACATTGGACACCATGGTGGGCTTGCACTGCCTCCGAGTGAACGGGTCCATTTTCTGGTTCTTCATGTTTACAACCTCTGCCTGTTGAATTCGACGCACGCCATCATTATTGCGGGGAAGGAAAAAAAAACACAGTTGCTATGTTGTTGTCTCGACGTGGGCTTCCAAAAGACCCCACAAAAGATTTAGTTGCCCGAGTTCATTGGCCCAGATTTTCTTTACGTGTCAAAGGTATCTGCGTACTCGTGCAAGCAATCGCTCTCTCAGAACGAATCTCTGTCAATGCCCACCGCCGAGATGAGACACTTTAATTGCATATTGTACGTTTTGAGACGTGTTTTCTTTATGACGTATTTATATTTTAACATTGCGAAGTATTTACACGTTACACAATACCATTCATATTTAATCACCGGTGGCTACCCAAATTGGAACCCACGACCTCAACAGCACCGGCTCAGTGCTCTGACCACTGCACCACCCAGCCACCTCTAAGGCACATTGCGGTAGATGTAGAAGCTCCAGTGGTTGCAGGTATCACGTGAACAAATTACACACAATGGCATAGCAAATTATATAAATGATATTCATTAACGCGTCATTACATGCCTATTCGCCATACCTGCATGGCTTTTTCCGACTCCACAATGTTCCACTCTCGATTCCTTTGGTTGATATAGCTGCAGACAATCATGCATTGGTTACAATATTTTGTTAAGACAAATTTCACGTGTGTACTGAAAGGTCTTAAAATGTGGTATGTGTGTAATATGGTGGATAGCCGAGTGAGTGAATGAGTGAGCAAGTGAATGAGAATGAGCGACTGACTGAGCAAGTGAGCGAGAAAGAGAGTGAGCGGGTGAGTGAGTGGGTGAGTGAGACAAATTAAGAGAGTGAGCGAGTAAACTGAGTGAGCAAGCGAGTGAGCTAGAGAGCGAGCGAGCGACTAAATGAGTGAGTGACTGAGCAAGTGAGTGAGCAATTGACTGAGCAAGCGAGTGACTGAGCAGGTGAGTGAGCGGGTGAGTGGCAGGTGAGTCAGCGAGTGAGTAAGCAGGTAAGTAAGCGGGTGAGTGAGACAGTGAGAGAATGAGCGAGGGAATGAATATGAATGAGTGAGCGAGAAAGAAAGTGAGTGAGCGGGTGAGTGAGAGAGTGAGTGAGCGGGTGAGTGAGCGAGTGAGTGAGCGGGTGAGTGAGCAGGTAAGTGAGACAGTGAGAGAGTGAGCGAGTAGACCGAGTGAGCAAGCGAGTGAGCTAGAGCGAGCAAGTGGCTGAATGAGTGAGTGACTGAGCAAGTGAGTGAGTGACTGAGCAAGCGAGTGAGTGAGCGAGTGACTGAGCAGGTGAGTGAGCGGATGAGTGAGTGGGTGAGTAAGCAGGTGAGTGAGCGGGTGAGTAAGCAGGTGAGTGAGCGGGTGAGTGAGACAGTGAGAGAATGAGCGAGTGAATGAATGAGTAAGCGAGAAAGAGAGTGAGTGAGCGGGTGAGTGAGCGGGTGAGTGAGAGAGTGAGTGAGCGGGTGAGTGAGCGGTTGAGTAAGCAGGTGAGTGAGCGGGTGAGTGAGCGGGTGAGTGAGACAGTGAGAGAGTGAGCGAGTGACTGAATGAGTGAGTGACTGAGCAAGTGAGTGAGTGACTGAGCAAGCGAGTGAGTGAGCGAGTGACTGAGCAGGTGAGTGAGCGGGTGAGTGAGTGAAAGTGCGAGCGAATGACCGAGTGAGTGGGTGCTCGAGCGAGCAGCAGTGAGCGAGCGAGTGACTGAGCGAGCGAGCGGACCTGATGGCGGAGATGTTCTTTGTGCGAATGCGATCGAGGGCCTCCGCTCGCTCCTCCAGTTCGTTCATCTTGTCCTGGATCTCGCGAGCGCGGTCCTCGTTTCCACCCTCCTCCGCCATCGCCTAAACCGTCAAAGCGCACCGCACGCCAGTCACCAAATCAAGGACCGCCGGCCACTTTACCAAACCATTTACAGACACAACAGTCCCCCAAGATCGTCACACGCCATTTCACCAGATCAGTAACGGTCACAACAAATTATTTCCCCCTTGCAACATCGACGGTCACCCCATTCAGAAAATGTGAACCGCCGCAACAATCAAAAAAGTGTCAGGCTGTCACACAATTTTACAAAGTTCTCTGGGCCCCATTCACGAAAACCGTTTAAACTGTAACAACGTTACCAAACTGATTACCAAACCGTTAATTGCTGCAACCTTAACAGCTCTCTGTTGCACGCTGCAATGCATTGTGGAGGAGGTTAATGTGCATCGTGCATAAATCATCGCGCGCAACTTTCCAGGCTACGAAACATCAAATAGCAGGCAGCGAGCAAGTAGGTGAGATTACTGGCTGATGACTCCCCCCCCCCTGAAGTAAAGTATTGACACTCGAGGAAGTGTCATTTGGTAAACAATATATATTGTAGACTATATATATTAAATTCAAGAAAAGTATGAAGCCTTATCCATTTTACTTTCAGTAATGCTGTTTGCTTTTGGCAACTTGGTAATTTGGGCCTTAAGTCCTGCACTCAACAACTTATGATGATGATGATGAAAAACTTAAATATATAGTGTGCCAGCACCATGGACAACATTTTCCAAATTTGAAAAAAATTACTCGGCAATGACTTAATTTGTAGACACGAAGCAATCGTCACCCCCCTGATGCGAAAACTTGGCAGGACTCTTCATAAAAACGAGACTTGCCGAGTCTTTCCCGGGTAACCGGCCGTGATGACAACAATAACAAATGACGTAAATACCTTATCCTTCATCAGCTCAGTTTTCTTCATGGCGTAGTTGGCAGGGTTTTTCCTGAACTTATCCTTTTCTTGGACGATCTGCGATGCGTCAAACACGTGGGAAAACACAACACAACTGGCAAATCACAATGCTCTCACTGCAACAATCGGTATTAAAAGCGTGCAAACTTTTAACCGGCTGCACAACTGGTTACATTTACAAGATCAGCAAGGAAATATTTTTTTTATGACACATGCCTTAAATATGCTCTCAATAGCATCCCTACGATAATGTACACTGACGAGGCCCTCTCCATGCCATGCCGGTCTTGGTGGTTGTTTGACCATACTTCACCGCTCTGGTCAGTGCGGGTTGGTGAAGTTCACAATAATGCTATGCAAAGAGAATCAGTGTCCTCCAATTGGATTGGAGCACAGGATAGTCTTCATGTCTATCGGCAGTTCCAACCTAGTGGTTGAAACATCTGCATGACAACCAATGTCTCTGTATCCCAGAAACCAAAACTCGCCGCTACAATGCTCAACTGACGGCCAATGCAGCACCCGCCACGTCCCCATGCCCCCTCCCCCTCACTTCAATAATCTTAGCCACACTAATCAGGTACGAGGGGAAGTTTTCCCCCTGGGAATTGTCAATGCAACGTTTCTACTTCAAGCGTGCCCAGTCGCCTGTTGTCTTTGAGTAGTTCTGAGCGTGCACAGTCAACGCATGAAGTATTAGCGTTATCAAAGTTTAGCGTAAATTGACCCTTTCCCGTACCGAGACGTCTGCAAGTTGCAGGGTGGGTCCCGTTCACCGCCGAATCTCGTAACGAGCAAGCAGTTAGCATTAATTTTATTTAGAGGCATAGTGCCGCTCTTTTTAAAGACATTGTACTCACCGCTGAAAACCGTGGCGACACGACCGCACTCCACGATAGGGGGCGCAAAACTGTTTACTTCCGTACACGTACGTCATCGTACATCGGAAAGGAATCGGAAGAAAGAAAAACTGATGACGTACACGTACGTCATCGGAATGGGTAAGGGTTAAAGTGCGGTCTGCCAAACGCATTTGAGACTCCTAATGGGCCACTGTGTAGGGAAGCGGTCCCCAGTCGCCGTTGTGCGCACGGAGAGGGGGGGGGATACGTGAACACGAGGGCCATGCACTCACGTGCTCCACGTCCTGGTCGTTGAACTTGTAATCGTGGGCGACCTTGATGTCCTGACGCTTCTTATTGATTTCGTCCAGGGTCGGCAGCTGAAGCCCTCCCAGCATCATCTGAGTGAAACCGGGCGGAGCAATGCATTTTCAGACGATGCATCGTCGTTCGGCCCGTAAATACGCTCTGCACTAGACAACGCCTTTCGCTTCGAGGGGGATAATGCTGCCATGGTATAATGGGAAGCATACTGGACTTGCGATCCAGAGTTTAGTTTAACACGTAGGCTTTCGCGATCAATATTATCCGTAATAAAGGTTTTTTTGGGTTAGATGGCGTAAATACAAATGTGTTGTTATCCCACGTGGTGTGATGTTTACACACCGCACCAGGTACTCATTTGAGGCTGAGTCGACCTAGGGGAAGCCCAGGACCGGATCAGATAATCGTCACTGGTGTTGGCCATGTGCGGTAATTGAACTCGGGTCGCCAGGAACATAGCGAACTGCGCTAACCGCTGCACTACCGCTCCCTAAACTCTCCATCAATATATTCACACACACACACACACGTGTGCGCGTGCACGGGCAGCGGCCGGCGAAGGGCCTCACACATCAAGAGTCTCCTACAGCCGAGTGGCGCACACAGCGCCGCCACCGCCGCCGCCTTACCGCTTCCTTCCACTTCTGGAACTCGTTGTCGGTGATGTCCTGATTGGAGACGAACTCGAGCCGGAATACGCGCTCCTGGTTGCCGTGGCTGGGAGGAGACAACCGGCACAACGCACGCAAGGCCTCTGGGTGTTGGTGTGCTCCGATACACGTGTACACACGTACAGCGTCCTTCACTGTGTCCAATCACTGCTGGATGAGGGCCCTCCCCATGTCGGCCGTACTCCACCAAGCCGGTCAGTGCGGTTTGGTGACGATACGGAGCGTAGATGTGGGAGAAGCGCAGTACAGGAATGGATTGTTCTGCATTGCCCTCCGCTTGCAACGGACGTTTTATAAACGGTGGTAACCCATTCATGCACTATCCAGGCTCAAACCGGCTTAGCTTCCGAGATCTGACGAGATCGGGAGGGAAATTCAATTCAATGCACCTCATGCAGGTGGCCTCCATTTTACATGTCCTGCAAAGAATTTTGAGCTGGAATGTCTCGAAGCGGCAATTTTTTTTTTAAACACGACGCTTTATTGATGCAGTCGTCGGGGTAACCGGGCTGAGGCCATCAACTCGCTACACCTGAAAACCTGGAGTTAAATTGGGGGCGAGACGTTTAATCTAACGCTGTGCGAGACACAAACACGGCAAGCCTCACCGTAACCGGAGGCCCTTGTTGGTGCGTGTCGTCCCCAGCTGGTAGATCTTCCCCGTCTCCATCATGCCCGTCACCTCCGCCACCTGCTCGCAACCGGCACCCACCCAAGGGAAAACGAAACCATGTCGTTTCGCTCAGAAAGAAAGAAGCGTACAGATGCCGCTGATAATGTGGTTAAATAACAAAATGTAAATTTCGATTTAAAGCTTTCGTGACTGCAGGGATTCATCTTCTTGGTTCTTTCGGTAAAGTCACGTAGAGGGAAATAATAAAATAATAAAAATATAAAACAATTAAATTCTCATGACGTTTGGACTGCAACACAAGCAATCATCATCATGTGTGAAATCCACAACAAGAAAATTTGAAAAAGTGGCAGTTTTTTCTTAAAGAAAATGTTATTGTTTTATATATTTTTTATTTTATTATTTCCCTTGTACGTGAATTTACTGAAATAACCAAGAATATGAATCCCTGCAGTCACGAAAGCTTTAAATCAAAAGTAACTAGCGTGTTAGGGATACCTCAGAAGATGGACAATTATTTAAAATATTGACCTTAATTTTATAATTCACTTGCAGTTACCAGCTAGTTAGGATACCTTACAAAATGGACAATTTGTTAAAATATTAACGTTCATTATTCACACATTTATTCCTCAGAACCATGTTTGGGCCAGGCAATGGGGCACCACACTCGGTTGAAACAAAATTCAACAAGGGGTCAACACAGTAGCCAAAAAAAAAAGGTTGAGAACCACAGCTCTCGATGGATGCGAGCGAGCGAGCGAGCAAGCGAGCGAGCGGTGGCAAGAGACTGTGCGACGCACCCGGTACACGGGCTTGGCGTTGTTGTTGCCGATGCCAATGCGGACGAAGCAGCCGATGGCCGTGCGCTCGAAGAACGGCATGTGGCACCAGCGCTCCATCTTGTGCCGCGACAGCCGGATCTGGTTGAGCTCGTCCTTGGATGACACCAGCGTCGTCTTGGGCGCCGACTCCTCCTTCCTGCGGCAAGGATCATCACCATCACCGCTGTCATCATCATCGTCATAATCATCATCCGCTGTGATCTATCCACTGTCGGATGAAGGCATTCCCACGACTCTAACGACCCTGGCTTGCAGGTGGATGGGTAGCCTTAGGGGCATTTCAAGACCCGTGCACCGAGCCAGCACCGATCGGGGTCTTGGATTCGAATGTTACGCTCCCATCATCGCCATCGTCATCAGCTGTGACCAATCCACTGCTGGATGTACGGTATAGATTTCAGCATACATGGCTGGCTCCTTAATAAGGGGGGGGAAGCTTTTGATTGGTTCTTATTAATAGGCTTTTAGTGATGTTAACGTACTGCCTGAAATATGCGGTAGCAGAATTCCATTCGAGGGCGGACCAAAGACGTGTGGAGTCGTTAGGAGTTGGCGCTCGTTCAGGGAGGGCACGCGCACGCAGAAGAAACCCAACGACTTACTCTTCCTCCTCATCGGAGGAGGACGACGAGCAGGAGCTTTGGTCGCTCTTCTCGCTCGCCTTGTCATCCTCCTCTTCCTCCTCGTCATCGTCAGAGTACACGTCGCTCGCGTTTAGACGCTGCTTCCGTGCCAGAAGCTCCGCTGCAATTGGTCAAAATAAAACAATGACGGACGACAGTCCTTCGGTATCAAACAAAGATGGGTAGACAATATATCACCTTCATATATCAGTCTCTCCACACGCAAGGCCTTCTGGGAGTGGATTATTTTAGCAGCATTGATTCAGTACAAGCAAACACTGGACCTTTGTCGGCACAGTGTGTCTTATCAGCAAAGTCAAGCTTGCTTGAATCAATGCTGGTGAACTGCCAGTTGTTATCGAGAAGGATTCCCTCTCTTTAAGATTCAGGTCTTGGTTTGACATTAAATTACAATCAATCGGGTCATTGTGGAGAATATAAATAACAAATAAAAAAAGTTCCTTCCGACGATGAGTTCGCACAAGTGAATGTATGCAGAATCTCCAAACATAAGAGAATAGATAAGACTCCCTCATCCCAAAGGGATAATCATGAGTTAACATGACCCTCGACTGGTACTTGAACTCACGCACTTCCCACTCTGAGTTAAGCTCCGGATGGTGCAGATAGATGTAGAGCTGGGGATATCCAATTATTTGAGTAATTTATGATACCAGCTCGGAGTCTGTAATATGAACTGTACTCGGTCATTGTGGAATACCGTAGTTTCATTCATGGAGGTGAGAAGTCACACATGCAACAACGGAGCAATGGTGAAAGAAAGGGTGGTGAGCGATGCTAATTGAAGAGTGTAGGCTCAGACAATTCATTGAAGTGACATCATAAAAAGTGATATAATGCTAGTTTTGAAGTTTTCGTGACTGCAGGGATCCATACTTTTTGGTTCTTTCGGTAAAGTCATGTAGGTAGAAAATAAAATAAATCACGAGTTTCTGATGATGATTGCTTGTGTTGCAATCGAAATGTCGTGATTTAATTTATTTTATACCTACGTGACTTTACCGAAAGAATCAAAGAGTATGATATCATGCTACTCTTGAACAACTGCCATGCCTCACGTGCAGCTTAAAGTCACAAGCCATCAGGATCACCGTCAGCCAGTCAATCCACTGCTGAAGGCAAACTATCACTGACCCTAAATTTCGATTTAAAGCTTTCGTGACTGCAGGTATTCATATTCTTGGTTTTTTCGGTAAAGTCACGTAGAAGGGAAAAAATAAAATAATAAAAATAAAACAATAAAATTATCACGACGTTTCGATTGCAACACATGCAATCATCATCAGGTGTGAAAACCACAGCAAGAAAATAAAAAAAAAACGTCGTGAGAATTTTATTTTTATTATATTATTATTTCCCTTCTACGTGACCCTTTAAAACTGCAAAGGGGCGCAGAGCAGCGCACACTCTCGTGCGGCTGTGCATGGCTGCATCTACTAACAACTGGCAGGCTTTGGCCTGGTCGGCATCGAGTCTGGCTCAGGGGTTGCCCTGGTAAGATCCAAAGTGCCCACACGGGCAGTGGGGGTTGTGGTGAGATGGGGGCAGAGAGGGGTTAGGCAGAGGAAGGTGTGTGGTCACCCACCAGTCTTGTTTTTCTTCTTTTCGCGCTCGGCTTTGAGCTCCTCCATGGCCTGGGACTTCTTGTCGAGTTTCTCGTCCCGCTTTGAGCGCCGCTCCTTGCTGTGCGACATCACCTGCCCAAGGCAACGCCGATGCCAAATCCTCAGTCACCGTCAGTCACGGGGGACGCGTTCGCACGTTCGTTCCGTTTCGCCACCGGCTCACGTGGCACCGGCGGTAGTCGCACGTTCACCGCTTGTTGCAGAGGTTCACGGTTCAACTAGAGAGGCCTCCCTGATTATTACCGCGGCTGCAATAACCGTACATGGTGAGCGCCGTATACTTCACATCGTGCGTTAAAGCCCCCCTGACTTAATTCGCAAAGAGTAGACCATCGTGTGTGCCGGCATCACGGTCAAAATTTTCTTCGTTAGAAAATTACACCGCACTTTTTTTTCAATTGGAATTAGACAAAACAGCAATCATTGCACCAGGTCAATGTTGCAAATGACGACTATTCTGGTCTCTTGGCAATTCTCACCGACACAAAATAAACTTTAAAAACAACTACGATAAAAACATTTGTTAAAAATAAAATTCCTGGCACTGTCCATGCATTTGTGCAGGATCCACAGCCGGGGTGGGGGGTGGGTAGGGGGTTGGGGGGTTGGTAGGCGTGAGATCAGTGGGACGTCATCATGCAGATGTACGTGGTAATGTCACCACCGCGTGCCAGCCAGCCAGCCAGCAAAACCTTTTGCAATCTCGTCAGATAGATAATTTTTCTGCCGTCTCACCTTTACGGGTGTCTCCTGCACCTTGCTCTGCTTCTCCCTGTGCTCCCGGTCATGCTCGTGCTTCTTTCGTTTCTCCTTCTTCTTTCTCGCTTTCAGTTTCTTCTCGATCTCGAATCTGCGGCGTTAATCGTTTACGAGTCGTGCATCCGAAATGGATTTTTTAAAACACGGCGCAAAGACGCTGTGTTGAACCGAATTTCAGGATCGCAACGGCTCGGACCGGCTAGTGGGCTTCAAGAAATGTGCCCAACCGATTCTGATCAATGACCCCACCACCACATTGCTCGGTTTCACCAACACACACGCTCATCAGCAACGACACCACCCGACTGGCCATCTTCAATTTTCCATGGACACAGTGGCCAAAGCTTGGCTGGATCTGCGCACAAGCCATGGAAGATACCTGATGCACAAGTGAAAAATCAAACTCACTCTTGCGCGTGATTGCCGCGATGAACATCAAACCACGGACGCATAAATTCGCACTATGCCCAATAAATATTTGAAGGCGGTGGGTGAATGAATGGGTAGCTATATCTGCAATTCACTAACTATCATACAAAGCAATTGAAGGGCTAAATCACTTAGAACTGAATCGCTAATAGTTGGTATTTTTTTCCATACAAAATCACCATCATCAGCCACACATGAAGCAAATTAGAGGAAACAATGTTACAATGTCTCCCTGCTGACATGAGCCTGGGGCGGTGCCAGTGGTGTAAATTTCATATTATCATGATGAGGGCCAGTCTCTCCGTTAAAGAAAGCAATTTAAAATGTAGGCTTTCGCGATCAATATTGTCCATAAGAGGTTTTTGTGTTAGATCGTTTCAATATAAGCGTCGTTAAACCAGCCACCACCTGCCACAGCCAATTAGTAAGGTTAGTCACGAAACAAAACATGCCAATTCGTTATTAGTACAGCACATCGGTGTGTTGGAGAGTAAATCCACGGCATTCACAATTTGAGTATGACATTTAGCTGCTAACTACATCCAGCATCATTTTCCAGAATTCTCCAACATCAGTGTGCTGTACAAGTAAAGAATTGGCATGTTTTGTTCACGTGACACACCTTACTAATTGGCTGTGTTGGGTGGTGGCGGGTTTAACGGCACATTTATATTTACGCGATCTAACCCAAAAAAAAAAAATCTATTTTGGAAGAGAGCAATGTTGAAGTCCCATGGTGGTAACAATTTTATTGGGCCTGAAAGAATGTTGGTCTGAGTCAATCTCTAATAATGCTGCTTTGAAAATTACGGCCTTATAATTGTGAGTCGAGTGATTTAAACAGTGCCAAACATGTCAGATACAAACAAAACCCCAAACTAAAGGATTACCAAAACGAGTAGGTAAAATATAGTAAATTAGCGAGTAATCACAAGCCAATCGCTCCATTAAATGTGAGGTAATGCTATTTCAAACAACAATTATGCATTTTGATAGTTTTTGCATTGCTCTTCTCTGCACCACTTTTGGTTCTTGAGTCATAAGCGGAATGACAAACAACTTTCATGATGAGTACAATGGATGTAGTGGCATAGTTGTCTCGTGTGCAGGCGGTGTAACGGAGGACAAGGCACCGGCTACGTATATACAGAAACTATCGTGTTTTTGTATTGTTTGTTGTTGTAACGTTCTGACCCGCTCCGACTGGATATCTGTGAATTTTTTTTATAGCTCATTGGTTTCTGACTATGACTTATGTTTAACTTCTTTCGCACCGTACGTAGCCAACTGTTCTAAATGGAGGTGTGGGGGGCGGGGCAAAATTGCACATGGGGTTTGGAGGGGGGGGTCACCCATTTCATGCCTTGTTGCAAACAGGCTACGCCACCACTGAATGTGCTTGGGGGTGGGAGCTTTTGCATGCCGACCTCGTCTTGAGAACCTCGCGCTTCTCGATGCGGTTGTAAAGCTCCTGCTCGCGCTCCTTCTCCGTCATCTTGGAGAGGCGCGCGCGGTCCTCTGCGTCGCCCATCAGGTCGTCGTCGTAGCCATCGTGGAACTGGTCCTTCCCTTCCGACGATGAGGACGACGAGGACGAGCTCGCCGAACCCGAGCCCGAGTCGCTGCTGCTGTCCGAGTCCGACACCTCCCCTAGGGACAGAGAGGGCGGCGGGGGAAGGGGGGGTGGCGTTGTGGCCACGAAGAAGGTTCGGTACGGCAGTTCTTCCAAATGCGCTTCCTGGCGAGCCACGTAACAAAATTAGTACGCGTAGGTGGGCCACATGACGTGGGGTCGCATGTAAATACGTTGCGACGTGTTTCTGCACCTCCGATTAGCACGGTTGCCTATGTACGGTGCGCAAAAAAGTTCAACATACACACATACATGACGTCTGTGCACCGGGAACAGGATGTAATAACATCTTACATATGAATAATAGTTGGCACCTCTTGTGTATAGCTTTCTCATCTCTACGTATTGTTTATTTCCCTTTCATCTGAATCGACGTCAAACATCGAACGTTGGATTAGGATGGAAGCTATGTCAGTCAAGAGAGGCAGCGATGGATGAGGGAAACGGTCAGGACCCAACAGCCCAAGAGGCTAAGCGACTCTGGTGAAGAAAACCACCAGCGTTGCTCCGTGTGCACGCGTCTCCTTCCACGGTTAAAGCCTCCTGCCGCTCTGCTCCGTTCGAGCTCTTGCTCCGACCGAGGCGTTGGACTGTACTGCGCTGGGACCGCACCTTCCTCCGGCTCGGACGCCTCCGCTGCACTCTCCTCCTCGGAGGACCCCGACGCTGTCTTGGCCACGGCCGACGTCTTCTTACTCGACTTCTTGCCGCTCTTCCCCTTGCCCTTCTTCTTGGCGTTGTTGCCTCCGACCGTCCACTGTGGAAAACGCAGGCACACACCTCTCGTAAGACCATCAAGACGCCTCTCGTATGTATTAGGCATGTAACGACGCATTGATTTTATGGAAATCGGCCCCAGTTTTCCTGTGTTGAACCGATGCAGCGAATAATATGCACTCCAAGAAGCAATAGCTTAATACAATTAAACTCTGCACTGGTTTAACACATTCACTGTCTCATCAGCAGTTAGGCTTGCGTGAAGGCAATGCCGAGAAGGTCGTGCAGCTGACAGGATGTGTAAAATAACCACTTATATTTTTTTATGTCAAGCCGCAAATATGGGAATGAGGCTTTATTTATCTTGCCATAAACATTCTTCACACTGACTCTTAATGAGTTTTGAATGTTGTAGATGATAAATGGGATAGAATTGCAAAATACATTTAAGGCACAATTTTAATTGTGGGAGCAATCGTTGATTATTTTGATGCGTACATGTTGCACGAAAGGTTTTCATGTGGTTCCTGAAATGCTGCACATTCTGCAAATTTTAACGAATAGAATCCAATCTTGCCATCTCAGATAAAAAAGTGGCAATAGATTTTATAGCGAGGGGGGCGACTTGTAACAACATAGCTAGAATATATCTTTATAATTTTTTGCTTCCTATTTATGCAGTGTTCTTGACAAATGTGGAGTTTTTTGTGTTGTTATTTGCGCTTGAGCACTACTGCCAATGCAGCAGCAGCATCACCAAATAAAAAGTTCAATATACAGAATATGTGGTGTATATAAAATGCATGGTACTATATATAACCATCTTTCCATTGGGATAGAGCCAAGAGGATTTCCTTTGGCTACAGAGTTCCAAAACATTTCCAACCGTGATAATCTAATTTATTCAGAGTTTAAAAGGAGGGGCCACTCGATGATAACTTCCTTTATTTCCTAGTTTAACCAAACTGCCAATGGCCTAGAATTACCACATTTTTATTCAATGCTTCGGGGTGACTGTATTCACAACGCTATTCCCAAAACATAGTATGCTGGTTAAAGACCAACCCCACATTCCATATTAACAGAAGGCCCGTGGATGGATAGATTAAGGAGAGATTCCCATCATGAAGAAATGACCGGCACACATCATTCTGGTGTTTTCCAATAGTGTCGCTAATAGCGATGTGAGCACATGCGATCTGAAAAGCTGAGAAAAAGACCGTCAGAACAAAAATCTGACCCCAAATATGAAATCACTCCACAATTAACGATATAGCAGTGCCATCAAGAACCTGGATTTGAATCCAGATGCAGCCGCCCATGATTAAACCGAGATTTAAAGTGTAAAGCAATGAATGAAGCGTCAGAGCGAGTGTGTCGCGATCTCACCTCCAAGTCGCTGTCGGACGTCTCCGAGTCGGAGGAGTCTGACCGTTTTGCCGCCGTCGCCGCCGCCGATGCCGCCGCCGGTTGTGGCGTGGCAGCCGGAGGTACGGGAGAAGGGCTGCTCTGCTGCTCGGGCTCACTGCGCTTGCGCTTGGCCAGCGAGAGCCACTCCTGCACGGGAGGCAAAATGACGGCGGTAACAACAATCGCCATTCGCCACTAAGTGGCGATAACGTCACCACGGCGCTTGTGTCAGGCTATGTGCACCTTAAGCCTCGTGGATGGAGGGGGGGGCCCTCTGCACATGCACGCGGTGCGACTCAATGACTGAGCAGGCACGCCGCGTTATTCAGAACCGTGCATACCAGTCAAACGAGATCAACTACACCTCTGATGCAAAGGGTATATTCGTTATTTTTTTTAAAGATAAAGTTCCTTACTACGTAGCCTCTCACTTTTGTGCTGTATACCTCTCGGATGTGCTTTCGGGTTGTATCGAGTGTTGTTCGGCACAATGTCCGACGTTTCTCTCCACGTGCTGGGAACTGAATTAAGTTCCAAAAGAAGATCGCAGCAAGTGGAGTTTCGAGTGAATGGTCCCAGGTCGTGAAACGACACTCCACGTACTAGGAACTTCTTCAGGAACTGAATTCTATACCTGAAGCAGCTCCTAGTATGTGTTGTTCATCATGTTGTGTGATATCATGCTGAACAACATGCAGAACACCCGAAAACACATTGGAGAGCTAAAGCTGGTAGTTATTAAGAACGAGGTGAGTATAAGAGATGACTGGGTGGCTGAGGTCAGAGCTGCCACTGATAAGGTAGCCGTCCATGATTAAATTGGGGTTGCAAGTGTAGAGAGATGATGATTTTCCACCTGATAGGCAATGGCTGCACGTGAAAAAAATCATTACATTGCACCTTACTATGTCATTTATTTCGATTCAAAGCTTTCGTGACTGCAGGGATTCATCTTCTTGTTTCTTTCGGTAAAGTCACGTAGAAGGGAAGTAATAAAATAATACAAATAAAACATAATAAAATCAAATAATTATTTGAAAAATAAAACATAATAAAATCAAATAATTATTTGATTTTATTATGTTTTATTTTTATTATTATTTTATTACTTCCCTTCTACGTGACTATGTCATTTATGTCGCTAAATTCCAGCTCTGAGAATTTTCAATATAAATGTTACTTTCCTGTGACAAACATAACTCTCTGTAGCATGGTACGTGATCAGAGATCACTTAGAGGGATCAGAGATCACTTAGAGGGATCAGAGGTCACTTAGAGGATCAGAGGTCACTTAGAGGGATCAGAGGTCACTTAGAGGGATCAGAGGTCACTTAGAGGGATTCAGAGATCACTTAGATGGATCAGAGGTCACTTAGAGGGATAGAGATCATGAGGATCAGCGTATTAGAGGGATCAGAGGTCCACTTAGAGGGATCAGAGGTCACTTAGAGGGATCAGAGGTCACTTAGAGGGATCAGAGGTCACTTAGAGGGATCAGAGATCACTTAGAGGGATCAGAGGTCACTTAGAGGGATCAGAGATCACTTAGAGGGATCAGAGATCACTTAGAGGGATCAGAGGTCACTTAGAGGGATCAGAGGTCACTTAGAGGGATCAGAGATCACTTAGAGGGATCAGAGATCACTTAGAGGGATCAGAGATCACTTAGAGGGATCAGAGAGTCACTTAGAGGGATCAGAGGTCAACTTAGAGGGATCAGAGTCACTTAGGGATCAGAGGTCACTTAGAGGGATCAGAGCTCACTTAGAGGGATCAGAGATCACTTAGAGGGATCAGAGGTCACTAGAGGATCAGAGGTCACTTAGAGGGATCAAGGTCACTTAGAGGGATCAGAGGTCACTTAGAGGGATCAGAGGTCACTTAGAGGGATCAGAGTCACTTAGAGGGATCAGAGGTCACTTAGAGGGATCAGAGGTCACTTAGAGGGATCAGAGGTCACTTAGAGGGATCAGAGGTCACTTAGAGGGATCAGAGGTCACTTAGAGGGATCAGAGGTCACTTAGAGGGATCAGAGGTCACTTAGAGGGATCAGAGGTCACTTAGAGGGATCAGAGGTCACTTAGAGGGATCAGAGATCACTTAGAGGGATCAGAGGTCACTTAGAGGGATCAGAGGTCACTTAGAGGGATCGAGATCACTTAGAGGGATCAGAGGTCACTTAGAGGGATCAGAGGTCACTTAGAGGGATCAGAGGTCACTTAGAGGGATCAGAGGATCACTTAGAGGGATCAGAGGTCACTTAGAGGGATCAGAGATCACTTAGAGGGATCAGAGATCACTTAGAGGGATCAGAGGTCACTTAGAGGGATCAGAGGTCACTTAGAGGGATCAGAGATCACTTAGAGGGATCAGAGGTCACTTAGAGGGATCAGAGGTCACTTAGAGGGATCAGAGATCACTTAGAGGGATCAGAGATCACTTAGAGGGATCAGAGGTCACTTAGAGGGATCAGAGGTCACTTAGAGGGATCAGAGATCACTTAGAGGGATCAGAGATCACTTAGAGGGATCAGAGGTCACTTAGAGGGATCAGAGATCACTTAGAGGGATCAGAGATCACTTAGAGGGATCAGAGGTCACTTAGAGGGATCAGAGGTCACTTAGAGGGATCAGAGATCACTTAGAGGGATCAGAGGTCACTTAGAGGGATCAGAGATCACTTAGAGGGATCAGAGATCACTTAGAGGGATCAGAGATCACTTAGAGGGATCAGAGATCACTTAGAGGGATCAGAGATCACTTAGAGGGATCAGAGATCACTTAGAGGGATCAGAGATCACTTAGAGGGATCAGAGATCACTTAGAGGGATCAGAGATCACTTAGAGGGATCAGAGATCACTTAGAGGGATCAGAGGTCACTTAGAGGGATCAGAGGTCACTTAGAGGGATCAGAGGTCACTTAGGGATCCACTAGAGGGATCAGAGATCACTTAGAGGGATCAGAGATCACTTAGAGGGATCAGAGTCACTTAGAGGGATCAGAGATCACTTAGAGGGATCAGAGATCACTTAGAGGGATCAGAGATCACTTAGAGGGATCAGAGATCACTTAGAGGGATCAGAGATCACTTAGAGGATCAGAGATCACTTAGAGGGATCAGAGATCACTTAGAGGGATCAGAGATCACTTAGAGGGATCAGAGATCACTTAGAGGGATCAGAGATCACTTAGAGGGATCAGAGATCACTTAGAGGGATCAGAGATCACTTAGAGGGATCAGAGATCACTTAGAGGGATCAGAGATCACTTAGAGGGATCAGAGATCACTTAGAGGGATCAGAGATCACTTAGAGGGATCAGAGATCACTTAGAGGGATCAGAGATCACTTAGAGGGATCAGAGATCACTTAGAGGGATCAGAGATCACTTAGAGGGATCAGAGATCACTTAGAGGGATCAGAGATCACTTAGAGGGATCAGAGATCACTTAGAGGGATCAGAGATCACTTAGAGGGATCAGAGATCACTTAGAGGGATCAGAGATCACTTAGAGGGATCAGAGATCACTTAGAGGGATCAGAGATCACTTAGAGGGATCAGAGATCACTTAGAGGGATCAGAGATCACTTAGAGGGATCAGAGATCACTTAGAGGGATCAGAGATCACTTAGAGGGATCAGAGATCACTTAGAGGGATCAGAGATCACTTAGAGGGATCAGAGATCACTTAGAGGGATCAGAGATCACTTAGAGGGATCAGAGATCACTTAGAGGGATCAGAGATCACTTAGAGGGATCAGAGATCACTTAGAGGGATCAGAGGTCACTTAGAGGGATCAGAGGTCACTTAGAGGGATCAGAGGTCACTTAGAGGGATCAGAGATCACTTAGAGGGATCAGAGGTCACTTAGAGGGATCAGAGATCACTTAGAGGGATCAGAGATCACTTAGAGGGATCAGAGATCACTTAGAGGGATCAGAGATCACTTAGAGGGATCAGAGGTCACTTAGAGGGATCAGAGGTCACTTAGAGGGATCAGAGGTCACTTAGAGGGATCAGAGATCACTTAGAGGGATCAGAGGTCACTTAGAGGGATCAGAGATCACTTAGAGGGATCAGAGGTCACTTAGAGGGATCAGAGATCACTTAGAGGGATCAGAGATCACTTAGAGGGATCAGAGGTCACTTAGAGGGATCAGAGGTCACTTAGAGGGATCAGAGATCACTTAGAGGGATCAGAGATCACTTAGAGGGATCAGAGGTCACTTAGAGGGATCAGAGATCACTTAGAGGGATCAGAGGTCACTTAGAGGGATCAGAGGTCACTTAGAGGGATCAGAGATCACTTAGAGGGATCAGAGGTCACTTAGAGGGATCAGAGATCACTTAGAGGGATCAGAGATCACTTAGAGGGATCAGAGATCACTTAAAGGGATCAGAGATCACTTAGAGGGATCAGAGGTCACTTAGAGGGATCAGAGGTCACTTAGAGGGATCAGAGATCACTTAGAGGGATCAGAGATCACTTAGAGGGATCAGAGATCACTTAGAGGGATCAGAGATCACTTAGAGGATCAGAGATATTAGAGGGATCAGAGATCACTTAGAGGGATCAGAGATCACTTAGAGGGATCAGAGATCACTTAGAGGGATCAGAGATCACTTAGAGGGATCAGAGATCACTTAGAGGGATCAGAGATCACTTAGAGGGATCAGAGATCACTTAGAGGGATCAGAGATCACTTAGAGGGATCAGAGATCACTTAGAGGGATCAGAGATCACTTAGAGGGATCAGAGATCACTTAGAGGGATCAGAGATCACTTAGAGGGATCAGAGATCACTTAGAGGGATCAGAGATCACTTAGAGGATCAGAGATCACTTAGAGGGATCAGAGATCACTTAGAGGGATCAGAGATCACTTAGAGGGATCAGAGATCACTTAGAGGGATCAGAGATCACTTAGAGGGATCAGAGATCACTTAGAGGGATCAGAGATCACTTAGAGGGATCAGAGATCACTTAGAGGGATCAGAGATCACTTAGAGGGATCAGAGATCACTTAGAGGGATCAGAGATCACTTAGAGGGATCAGAGATCACTTAGAGGGATCAGAGATCACTTAGAGGGATCAGAGATCACTTAGAGGGATCAGAGATCACTTAGAGGGATCAGAGATCACTT